GGCAGCTCAGAGAAGCCGTCGTAGGCGAAGCTCGCGCCCCGCGTTTGTCCCTGTGGTCCGTATCCTGTCTTTGCCTCTCTCCTGTCCCATAGGCTTCCTCTGCACTTGCTGAGATACGCTGAGCTCCTTTCTTTTCCCCATCTCGGAACACTAAGCCTCGATCTTGCCCTGGCTGCTCTTTGAGGCACACACTGTCCACCTGATTCTGTGTGAAGCTATTTCTGACCACGTCGTCTAAATTTTCAACCTTTCCCACCCCCACCCACCACAGCTCATATGCCCCTGGCCGGGTTCATTGTGTTTTCTCTTCAGCATTTAGAGTTTGGCATACTACATATGTCGTTTATTTATCTTGTTTACTGGACGTCTCTCCCACCAGAATGTAAGTTTCAGGACAGAGGTTTTTGTCTGTTCAGTCATGTATGTCACGCACCTAGGATGGTGCCTGATACGTGTCTAGTAAGTGCTAAACAGTTGCTTGTTGAGAAACTGAGTGCCAACACTCCTGACTCCCAGTGCACGCTTTTTTTTCTCTTTAGATCCCACTTATCATCCAAAGGGATGTGTTAAGAAATAAACATTGCTTTGCAAAAATACTCAGTACAATTCCTTCAAATAGCAATCTCTGTTAAAGCATTTAAAATTATTTAATTTATCGCAATTCAGTTTAGGCATGTTTCAGTAATATAGCTTCTTTATCAATGCACATGTGCCTGTGTAGCCTTTTAGTAAACGATAATGTGTATGTATTCCTCCAACTATATTTACCAACACAAGTGCGCATATATGCTTATATTTACATTTCCAGTAGTTATTCTATATACAGTATATTGTTCAGTAATCTTTTTCCCATAATATATTTTAGACATCTTTCTAGCACCCTTTATATGAAAAAAAATTTGGGGGGGGATGCTGTCTGGTACTGGAATCGAACCGTTGACCTTGGTGTTAGAAGCCTCTATCATTCTTTGGTGCAGTAGACTTTTTTTTTTTTTTGGCACCTGGCTGGTGTGGGATCTGAACTCTTGCCCTTGGTATTACCAGGCTGTACTCAAAACAACTGAACTAATCCATGAGATCAATAATGTCCATGAGACTGAACATGGTGGACATGTTTTTAATCTCCAGATTCTGACCAGCAGGTTACTATTTCTGAAGCATTGTGTTGACTGACGACTAAAAAGTCAAGAGATGACCTGGCTCATCAGTGGTTTGAGAATGATGTCCTTGCTGAGGCTTTCAAAGAAATTAAGGATCGAGAATTTGAGACAGTGAGATTCCTTGTCATAAAAATTTCTGTTCAGTTAGTATTTATTAAACTTTATTTTTGTAAGAATAGTTTAGGTTTCCAAAATAGTTGAGAAGATGGTACAGAGTTCAGGTGTGTCTGGCACCCAGTTCCCTCTATGATTAACATCTTACATTAGTGTGGTGCATTGGTTAAAATTAATGAATGGATATGGATGCATTATTACGTACTTTATTCAGATTTCCTTAGTTTTCTCCTAATGTCTCTTTTATTTTCCAGCATCCCATTGGGGCTGTATTGCAGTGATTCATCGTGTCTCCTTAGGCTCCTCTGCACTGTGAGTGTCTCAGACTTTCCTTGCTTTGGTGGTCTTGACAGGTTTGAGGAGCACTGCTCAGGTATTTTGTAGAACATCCCTCAGTTGGGATTTGTCTGACATTTTTCTCATTATTAGACTGAGGTTTCATGTTTTGGGGGAGGAAGGTCACAGAGGTAAAGTGGCCGTCTCATCACATCGTATCAAAGGTACATGGTACCAACACGACTCATCACTGTTGATACTGACCTTGATCACTTGGTCACCTTGATGTTGGAGGTAGGGTGCAGGGANCGGGCTCAGCGGGCTTGGCAGGTCTGAGGTGCTCGCCCCGCGGGCGCGGAGTCTGCACGTTCCCCCGGTCCTTGGCTGCCCCTTGAGCGCTTCCACTTCATTAGGTTTGCTTGGAGTTCATGGGTCGCTTTCAGTGGGACAACGAGGCAGAATGGAAATCTGGTCCCTCGCTAATAAAGTGCTTAGGGAAGAAGGAACCAGAAAATTCTTTCCTGCCTATGTCTGTTACATTTCAACCATCGATTCCCCTGATGCAGGGGTTGGTTTTCTTCTTGTGATGTTAGGTGAAAGCAGCTCAGACCAGAGGGGCAGCCGATAAGTGGGTTGTTCCTGAAGTGTATACAGTGACTATGGACAAATCGAGTCTCCAACCTATTTTCTGAAGGAGAAGCCCAACTTTGGTAGAGTCAGGAGCTGGATGAAAGGGGTGGGGGACAGATAGGGGCTGGGGGGTGTGGCCTGAAGTGGAAGCAGAGTCCAGGTGTTGTAGAGAAGATCTCTCAGCATCAGAGGACATCAAGGGTGGAGGTATGGTATGAAGGGGTTGTCTCTGAATGTTCATATTGGGGTCTATTTTTTTTTATCAGCTGAGTCTGTTTCACAGTTAGTTTGGAATTCTGCTGTGACTTTCCCAAATGTTGGGTAGGCCTCATGGAGCATCTGTCAACACAAGTTCGACATTGCACCCTCCCCAGCACCTGACTAGGAGTAAGAGGTGGGTTGTCCAGTCCCAGGCTGGNCCCAAAGCATAATAAAATCGTAGGCCACAAGCCTCCCCCTCAGAAGACCGCAGAATCCCCTCGTCCTACCCAGAAGGGCCACTCCTTCCCTCAGGAGGCCCTGCTCAGGGGGGAGCTACTGCAGGGGGACACCGACACCTAGAGGCAGAGCGCAGCACCGCAAGCCTGTCCCTCCCCAGTGCCCCGAGGGAAAAGGAACCCAGGCCACAAGGAGACCACATGGAGAGAGTGCTGGGTGGGCCTGGGGTGGAGAAGACCTCAGCGCCACAGCAAAAGACCTTTCCTTCTCTCAGTGACCAGACCTCTGCCCCAGAACAAGAAGAGCTAAAGGCTGTGGCCAGACTGAACTGCACCAGAGAAGAAACCGCAGAGAGTGGAGTGTGAGGCCCAGGCAGGGCAGCGGGGCATCTGCCCAAGCGCGGGCTGGAGAGGTGTCCTGCCACAAGCTGAGGCAGCATCTTTCTTTCTTGGCTTCAGCAGATTCCAACATCCCTGAGCAGGACCTGGGTGCATCTGGGCCACTCAGGAGCAGCTGAGCCAACACGGCCACTGGCACCTGCTACCCTGGCCCAGTGTCCCGGCAGGCTTCTCCCCTCCCACCTTGACTGAGTCAAAGCCTGCACAGCCAGCGGAGGTCTGGGAAGGGGGCATCCTCTCATCCTCGGCCTTCTGTAGGCTCAGAATTCAAAGC